CAAAAACCCAGATGCAAAGTAGTCTCAGAGCAATAGCCATGATAAACAGATCATCTTTATTCTCTTAACTTTGCAGAGATTAAACAAAACTGGCAACGCAGCACACAAAAACAGCAGTGCAACATATTTACACACTCTTTGTAACATGCATAAAATAAAGCATCTTCTAAGCAGCAAATGGGAAGTCAAAACCAATAAATAGCTATTTCACCCTCAGCATTTCCTGTTGGAACTCCACCCTGGTGAAGCAGAACTCCAGCAGCAGCCCACCAGAAATCCAGCACCCACCAGAAGTTTAACACCCACCACAACGCATTCTAAAAACACAAACAGTTAGAGCCCCTTGGGCGTGGCACAAGGTTGCTTCTTGACCTACTTAGTCAGCTGAACAAGATAATTACAAACAATAAGGTTTTTCTTCACACACATACTTGTGTCTGCAAGGACTTACCGTAACACCCCTCATCATATCTCCTCTCAGCCTTCTCTTCTTCAGGCTAAACATTCTCAGCTCCTTAAGCCACTCCTCGTAGGGCTTGTTCTCCAGGCCCTTGATCATTTTAGTTGCCCTGCTGTGGACACATTCCAGCTTTTCAATATCTCTCTTGAATTGTGGTGCCCGGAATTGGACACAATATTCCAGGTGTGGTCTAACCAAAGCGGAATAGAGCATGGGGAACATGACTTCCCTAGATCTAGTCACTAGGCTCCTCTTGATTCAGGCCAAAATCCCATTGGCTTTTTTTTTGCCGCCACATCACATTGTTGGCTCATGTTTAACTTGTTGTCCACGAGGACTCCAAGATCTTTTTCACACGTCATGCTCTCGAGCCGAGCATTGTCCCCCATTCTGTCTCTTTGCATTTTGTATTTTCTGCCTAAGTGGAGTATCTTGCATTTGTCCCTGTTGAACTTCATTTTGTTAGTTTTGGCCCATCATCTCTCTAATCTGTCCAGATCGTTTTGAATCCTGCTCCTGTCCTCTGGAGTATTGGCTCTCCCTCCCAATTTGGTGTCGTCTGCAAACTTGATGACCCTGCCTTCTAGCCTTTCATCTAAGTAATTAAGAAAGATGTTGAACAGGACCGGGCCCAGGACGGAACCCTGCTGATGGCACTCCACTTGTCACTTCTTTCCAGGATGAGGAGGAAGCATTGGTGAGCACCCTCTGTGTTTGTCCACTTAACCAATTACAGATCCACGTCACCGTAGTTTTGTCTTGCAGTGTAGGATATCGCACACAGAGAATCTTTGAGCACCGTCCCCTTGGTATCTGAGGAGGGATTGATCGTTGTTGGGCAAGTGTTAAAGTATTTGTCACCAGGCAATGGGCACCTTCCCTCTTCCTCTTGGGTTGCTACAGCACTAGACTTCCTCTTTATGTTCCACAAGATATTTCCCTGTTCAACTCCTGAACAGATTTTCCTCTCATTTGTCTGGCAGGTAACTTCGGAACAAGTTCTGTGAAGAACGCCTTATAAATCTAAAAGAATGGCAAGTCCCCTACCTCCCTATCCTAGATCAGACACAGGGGAGAAGTTACATTACTGTAGGGAATGTGGAAAACAATTTGATAGGAAAAGTTCTCTTACTGTACATGAACGGACCCACACAGGGGAGAAGCCACATATATGCATGGAATGTGGAAAGAGCTTCAGTCAGAGTGGCGCTCTACATTCCCATCTAAGGACACACACAGGGGAGAAGCCATATAAATGCATAGAATGTGGAGAAAGCTTCAGTACAAGTGGCAGTCTATGTAGACATCAAAGGACACACACAGGGGAGAAGCCACATAAATGCATAGAATGCGGAGAAAGCTTCAGTGGCAGTTTATGTTCCCATCTAAGGACACACACAGGGGAGAAGCCATATAAATGCATAGAATGTGGAGAAAGCTTCAGTCTGAGTGGCAGTCTACGTAGACATCAAAGAACACACACAGGAGAGAAGCCATATCAATGCATGGAATGTGGAGAAAGCTTCAGTCGTAGTGGCGCTCTACATTCCCATCAAAGGATCCACACAGGGGAGAAGCCATATCAATGCATGGAATGCGGAGAAAGCTTCAGTCGCAGTGGCAATCTACGTAGACATCAAAGAACACACACAGGGGAGAAGCCATATCAATGCATGGAATGTGGAAAGAGCTTCAGTCAGCGTGGCGCTCTACATTCCCATCAAAGGACACACACAGGGGAGAAGCCATATAAATGCATGGAATGTGGAGAAAGCTTCAATCAGAGTGGCCATCTACGTAGACATCAAAGGACACACACAGGGGAGAAGCCATATCAATGCATGGAATGTGGAGAAAGCTTCAGTCGCAGTGGCCATCTACGTACCCATCTAAGGACACACACAGGGGAGAAGCCACATAAATGTATTGAATGCGGAGAAAGCTTCAGTCTCAGTGACAGTCTACGTTCCCATCTAAGGACACACACAGGGGAGAAGCCACATAAATGTATTGAATGTGGAAAAAGTTTCAGTCGCAGTGACAGTCTACGTTCCCATCTAAGGATTCACACAGGGGAGAAGCCATATAAATGCATGGAATGTGGAGAAAGCTTCAATCAGAGTGGCCATCTACGTAGACATCAAAGGACACACACAGGGGAGAAGCCATATCAATGCATGGAATGCGGAGAAAGCTTCAATCAGAGTGGCCATCTACGTAGACATCAAAGGACATACACAGGAGAGAAGCCATAGAAATGCATAGAATGTGGAGAATGTTTCAGTCAAAGTAACTTTTCAAAATAACAATTCAAGTCAATATGAAATTTATGTTAAGGGCAATTACAGGAAATAAAAGCATTGCTGTGAAGAACCACGACTTATTTAAAGCAATGATTTTAGCCTGGGGATGGAGAGATGAAAAAAATGGAATCTGGAAAATTGGAATAACTATTTTATTCGAGCAAGTCCAATCAGATAGTATTGCATGTATAAGGTTCACAGGAGGACAAAACAGAATAAATTGAAGAAAAATTGGCAACATATATGAAATGGGTAGAAGAAGGTGACATTGTATAAAGATTTAAAAGGTTGTGTTGGTGTGTACTCATGGATTTTAACTGTTTAGCCCAATCCCCATCACACATCCATGAGAAACAAAAATTAGAGTCTCTCCAGAAGGGCAAGCGCAATCTCCACCAAATTTTGATTATACACACAATCATTACCTATCTTTCTACCAATTTATGTTGCAGTAACAGCAATAGCTAGCACAGCGGAAGTGACCAAGTTGGGCTACCTGCAACCAGCAGGCAAAGCCTAAGGCGTTGGAAATGGACGGAGGGGGGTTGACCTGGATTGCAGGTGGACACTGAGGAGACGGTGACGTCTGCCACTGGTTCCTCTAAGCCAGGGGTCCCCAAAGTCCGGCCCGGGGCGATCCGGCCCCCCGGGGCATTTATCCAGCCCGCCAAGGAGGAGGCCTGCGTCTTAGTGAAATCAGTCTTGGCTCTGCTAACGCAGAGCTCCTTTCATTCTTTCTGTCTCCCCCTCAAGCTCTCTCTTTCTCCCCATTTCAGTCTCTCCCCCTTTCCCCTCTCTTTTTCTTTCTCTTTCTCCCTCCTCCTTTCTCTCTTTCTCCCTCTTTTTTTCCTCTCTCTTTCTCCTCTTCTTCCCTTTCTTCTTCTTCTTCCTCGGAGGAGGTGAAGGCGGTGGTGAGTGTGGAGCGCTGCGGCTGCTGCCTGGAAGAGCGGAGGCAAGAGAATTCCTTGCCTCCACTCTTCCAGAAAAGACACAGCTGCCAATAGGCAGCCCCAAAGCCTCCCCTCACCATCCAGCCCTCCCTCCTTCCTTCCACCTCTACCTGAACGCTGGGCTCAAGGAGCCCCTGCAAAGCCCCCACCCCCAGCTAAACAGGAAGGGGAGAGTGGGGGCGGCAGAAACGCCAGCCTCCTGGAGGAAAGACGTCTCCTCAAAACCTGGGGTAACTTTTCTTCCCTTCTTTGTCCTCTGCTTCTCTTTGGCCAATCCAAGCTCCTATTGTGAAAACAGCCGGTAGGTAGGCTGTCAGGAATTGTGGGAATTGAATTCCAAAACACAAAGAGGGCCCAAGTTGGCCCATGCCTGCTTTAAAAAATACCAATGATATTTAATTCTGTTGCAGTGTTTCATATATTTGTAGATTTGAAATAGTATTGAAATATAAACTGCTTTGCCCCTTCCACACAGCTGTATAAAATCCACACTGAACTGGTTTATATGGCAGTGTGGATTCTGATAATGCAGTTCAAAGCAGATACTGTGGATTATCTGCCTTGATATTCTGGGTTATATGGCTGTTTGGAAGAGCCCTTGGAGGGCCCTTCAAGACAGGTCCTACATCCCAGGATCTGATCCTAGGTTTTCTCTTTATCCCAGGTTATCTGGCAGTGCAGACTTATATAATCCAGTTTAAAGAAGAAAACTTGGGATCAGATCCTGGGATATAGGGCCTGTCTGGAAGGGCCCACCGTCTCCTTGTGGAGACAAAAAGTGGTGTATAAATAAACATAATAAACATAATAATAATAATAATAATAATAATAATAATAAAGCCCTCCTCTTCTGATCTCCTGCTTTGGCCAGAGCTTCCCACCTGGAATCACACTCTGAAACCAAATTGGAGAACAAAAATCTGTTCCTGCCTTGAAAGTGTTATTTCCTGTTTAATTGTGTGGCCCTTACTTTGAACGTAGTTGTTCTCCCCCAGATACTTTGTATGTGTGGCTGCCACAAACTATGATGAATCTAATTGTCATGGGTGTTCTGTATGCCAAGTTTGGTTGAATCCCATTGTTGGGGAATTCAGAATGCTCTTTGATTGCAGGAGCGACTGCAACGTCCACATGTTTGAGTGTATTTTAACCAAACCTCTCCAGTATTTTTTGTTGGTCATGGGAGTTCGGCTGATAGGCTGATCAGTAAACATATTAATGGGTTCCCTGTTGTTATATTAATGTTTTTGCTATGACATGCTTGAAGTCAAAATTTCATTTATTTGTAATTAGAAATAAATATTTCACTACATATAATTACATATTCTTTTTGTGATTAATCACAATGCTTTATGCTCAGTTTGTAACAATGAAAATACATCTTGCATATCAGATATTTACATTATGATTCATAACAGTAGCAAAATAAGGTATGTGCAGTGTGCATAGGAATTTAATCATAGGTTTTTTTTTTTTTAAAAAAACAAAACCTATAGTCCGGCCCTCCAACGGTCTGAGGGACAGTGAACTGGCCCGCTGCTTAAAAAGTTTGAGGACCCCTGCTCTAAGCCAAGCCCTGCCAAAGAAACCATGGAGCTGTGGGGGCAGTTAGGAAAAATATATAATATTAAAATCACAATATAATTTAGAATTACGATATCAATGTTTAAACCTACCTGATTCTTCCTGTTGCAACCCAGATCAGGAAACAAGACCATAAGATTAAATCCACCACACTTGACTGTGGGAAAAACAATCCTTTTTACTGATGAAAAATGGTTACAAAATAGAGGAAAATGCAAAGTCAAAAAGTCACAGTAAATCTCAGCAGTCAGGAAAATCTCTGAACTAGATCAAAATTCCAAAAGCAACACTATAGAAAACCTGGAACCTGT